AGACACTTTACATTCATAATAATTCAATAGTATAAAATAAACTATAATGTAAATGAATGTAAATATTTCTTTGAATTATTAAAATGATTAATTAAAATTATTTTTAAAAATAAATATACACCTGTTAGAGCCTCACAAAAATAAATAAAAAAATACATTTCAAGAAAAAAATTAATACAATTTTAAAACACTTACAAATCTAACATACTTAATTTGACATTTTTATATAAAATAATATATGTGGTTTTATAAGTTACAATTTGTTTTGGACGATTTTGTTGAATTGGGGGGGGGCAGCCCCACATTGAGAAATTTACAATCACTCGAAAGGGCCGAGGTTACAAATTCTAAAAAATTGATTACAAATAGTTACAAATTGAGTTTTATAAGTTACAACTTGTCTTGGACGATTTCATTGAATTGGAGAGGGCTGCGTGAAGTTAACCCCTCATTGAGAAAGTACCCATAGCTTGAAAAATCTGAGGTTACAAATTTTAAAAACTTGAGAACTAATAGTTACAAATTAAGAAAATAAGGTTACAATTATTTTGGAAAGTATTTTTTAAAGTGGGGGGGCTAACTTCACATACGTTATTTAGCTGCTCTCTGCGATTTCTTGTTCCCCTATAAATATAAAATTCAGATGTTAGCCTATTTGACTCCTCAAATATAAATAGATTAGTAGTGTAAATAACCTATTCATGGAGTACATCTAGTACCACCTATGTTTCGTCTAGCCCAGCGGTTCTTAACCATAGGGTCGCGACCCAATTTTGGGTCGCCAATAATTTTAAATAGGTCGGATAAAAATTTAAAACGTTAGTATAATATTTTTATTTTTAAGTCTTATAAATAATAAATGAAACCTCATGTACGTTGGTTATTATGGAGAAAAATTTTAACGAGATTTTTTGAATTAAGAACTGAAATAGACGTATTTTTAAGAGAAAAAAATTCACTGTAATCCATCCATTTTCAAGATATAATTTGGTTGACAAAAGTTGCGTATCTATCAGATATTATTTCGTTATTAAATGAGTTAAATTTGAGTATGCAAAGGCCATTAGCTAATATTTTTACATGTTGTAATAAAGATATTAACTACAATTAAAACTAAATCAAGAAACAAGCTTGATGTCGAACCCACGATGCGTATTTTACTTACTAACTCCATAGAAGAACTCTAAATTGATTCATTGGTAAAGCAACATCAAGACCAAGGAAGTCATTAAATTAAAAATTATTTAAAAAAAAATACAATATTATTAAAAGAAATGTTTATTTTTAAATATAATGTAATTAATATTATGACTTGTTATGAATACAAGTAATATGAGTAAAAAATGTTATTCAATTAAGAGTACCAAATAGTTATTTTTTATTCTGTCATTGAATATTATTTATAAAAAGGTCGCAGGAAAAATTTGGTAAATATCTTGGGTCGCCATTACACAAAGGTTAAGAACCGATGGTCTAGCCACCATTAATCTCTTATTTACGATGATTATCTTATTATTTTCCAATGTATTACTCTAATCTGGATACTTAGAAACGTATAAAATTATTTACGTTTAATATGGGGTTTCCGACCTAATAAAATTACTCATTTTGAAGGTTTGATAGTAATTGATAAAATACCTATCATCCGTTATCTATATTGCCCAATATACGAAGAGCATTTTATATATTGTCTAGACAATATATAAAATGCCCAAATTGTATACTTTGCCCATAACATATATATATATAAATATACATTATCATAAGCGTGGGCACGAGGTAGTTAGTTAGGCACTTGATTATTCTGTGAACCTTCCCTCCCTCACTAAAATATTCAATATTATTACAATAATAAATTAACATATTTAACATATCAATAATAATACAATTTAAATTATACATGGGTTATTTTATCGTATCGTCAACCGTTATTCGGATAAAAAAACGGAATTTTTTAAGTAAATAAAATTTATTTTGAAATTTTATAATTTTTCATATAAAATAATAGAAAAGTATATGAAATTATACCGATATGCTTTTTATTAAAATATAAATATCTATAATTTAAGTCATGTACATTTTTACGATAAGTTCAATAGATTATTGACTATATTCAAAAAACGACAAACCAACCCTATTTTGCAATTTTCAACCCATTTGTAGCATGTAAAAGGGGTTAGTAATCCAAAAATTTTACTTGTACATTTTGAGCTTGAATTAAAGAAAAAATTTGAGCCCCCCCCCTAGAATGAAGTCAAAATACGTCTCTGTGATAGACTTATAATTATAATATGTTATCATTATAACAGAAACAAGAGCTGTATGTAATGAACTTTAAATTATTTTTAAGTTTGTATTAAAGAAAAATTAGTTTCCCCCCCCCCCCCCCCACCCACACACACACACACACAGCGCCTCAACACAAATACGCCCTTGGCCTAGGTACCTACAACTAAACTTTGAATGTACATTAAAATATTTAATATTTTAACTTATAAGCTTAACGTTTTATATAACTAGTACTTAGTAAATTATTTTGAATTGTTTATTGTACAAAATAAATATAATAATTTATTGATTTATTTGTATCACTTCTTTTTATTGATCGTCTCATTGCACAATAATACTGGATATAGGACGGTTCAAATTTTTTTTATCGAATAAAATTATAAATTTACTAACTAAAGAAATGTAAGCTCGTTGCAAATTTAAAATCCAAATTACGGTAAATTAACTTACTGAAAACTTAGACTTCGATGGTTTGATAAAATGAAGGTAATGAAACAGAATACACCAAAAGTTAAAAACAATTATTATTATTTAAATATATAAATTAAAGGTCTTAAAATAAAGATTAACGCACGTAACTTATTTGTAATTGTTGAGCTAATAATTTTAATACCAGTAGTTATAATAAAAAAAATAACATGGAATAACTATTGAACTTATTTTCGAAGAGAAACATTGAATAGGTGCTAATTAGTTTTAATTTGAGAGTACTTCTTTAAATATCATCCGTATTAATCTGATTAAACTCTTAACTAAAATATTAATACTAGTTATTAGAGTTGGGCAACGATATAATATTGTGTATTGATATCATTCCGATTTTCTCGATATTGTATCGGAATTTTTTCGATATCGTTATCGTATCGAATTATATTTTTATAAATTTAGTAAAATAATATACTAAAACTTAGTACTTATAATCTATATACTTATATTTAGTACCCTTGGAACACCAAAATCATAAACTATTATCTAGTACATAATGCTTATCGATACAGATAACATAATAAGCTATATCAAATGTAATAATAATGTAGAAATGTAAAATTAAATATAAATAACATAATAATTCACATTTCCTGAGGACACGTGTACAAACATTATCAGTTATATTATTAGACAAATATTATAACTTATTAGTTATTAGTTAATGGTTTATTACACAGCACACACAATATAATTTACTTATGCTTAAAATCTAAAAATTAAAAGTATTTCTAGAAAAATTATTAAATTTGATATTGCGATATATCGTACAACTATATAACGATAAAGGTGTCGAAAATGTGTCACGATATCGATATCCTATCGAATTATCGATATCGTTGCCCATCACTACTAATTATAGCAATATGTTTCAAAGTGAATAGTGACGAATTAGTAACTACATATATGATTATATTCAAATAATTCGTGAAAGATTGTGCCCCTCAAACTCCTTTCTAAGTTACGCCATTGATTGGAATATGGCTCATATTTATTAAAATATCATCCTAAACTCTACTAATAAATATAGCTGAATGAGTTGAACATTTTCCATCATGTAAAAGAAGACCTCGGGATGTTAAGACTGTAATTAGGATTCTAAACTTTCGAAATATATATATATATATATATATATGTATAAATATATATATGGATATGTATAATAATATAATTAGTTATAAATTGTAATACATTTTAATTTTCATCTCACAGTTAGTATTCGTATTAACTTTGATAGGACGATAATGAGAAGTTTTTCTGCTTACGTGTCGGTGTAACAAAGGTAACAAAACGAAAAATTAAGATACCACGAACATTTGAGTACATACACTCTTTCGTTACTTGGAAGTGGGAAAATATAAGAATGTTCATTTATTTATGCTTATTAATATGTCGTTAATTGATAATTATTATTTTTTATAAATGAATAATTTTTTAAAATTCCAGGAATTTCCGATTTCAAGAATGTAGATATTAATTTAGTTATATTACGAAATCTAATCTACATAATCTGATATCTGTTTTTGATACAATACATTTTATTCTACCTATTTAGTGATATGATTACTATTTAATAAGGATTTTTAAAAAAAAAAGAATAGGTATACAAAGCGATTATACTATTGTAATAGATAAATATGATATTATACAGTAGAATCGCGTGCAGTGAAGATGAATGGTGGTGGAAGATAGGTGTAACAATAACAACAACAACAACAACAACAACATATACTATTTAATATTGTATGTATGTATGTATGTGCGCGCATGGACAAAATAAAAAACAAATTTGAGTCGTCGTACACACGACAGTTTATTATTTAACGGACTGTGTGGCAGCGGTCATTGCGGCGGCGAAGGGTACAACAATCTAAAAACCTAGGGCAGGAATTCCATCATTTCTTCTACATCGAATAATGAGAGATAAAATAATAAAAACTGACATGCAGGAACACATGCGCGTGCACGCACACGGCATACACACCATACACAAACTCGAACACATACACATGCAACGAATGCACACACATACTATACACAAACGTACTCGCACACACACACATATAAGACTCGGGCCGTGTCATGGTAATAGCCGCATTCCAGAGAATCCGTGGTCTGATTGGCTACCGTTTCGGTGATGTCATGCGATTGATAATAGAACCGGCCGCTGGCGCGCGCACGAGCACCCGCGAACACTCTGTATACTCGTTTTTCTTGTGACGGGGGCAACGTTGCGTTCAGTCCGACCATTTCCAAGATGGCGAAGTGTGCGTGATATCTATCGTCGTCGGTCCGTCCGCTGTAGTGAACACTTTTTATTTTATTTACCTTATAACTTGTGTATCGTTAACATTTTTTTTCGTTGTTTGACCTTTATTGCTCGTGTTAATTATATTATACCAACGTTTGTTGGTTTTACTGTCAATACCTCTGCAGTAGATCCGTTGTCATTATTTATACAATATAATATATATTATTTATCATTTACTATCATAGTTTTACATGTCAATACAATATAAAAGCATAAATACATATAATATTTATACATATACGTGACGTAGTCGCCGTCGTACCCTTCGGTTTCGCTAATGGATTCGATATCGTGATATTTGACTTTGATGGATACAATACAATGCCAAGACGACGGAACGGAGAGATACCGTTGCCCGATGGCTGGGATTTCGCGAGAGATTATGATGGAAAAGTGTACTTCATCGACCACAACACCAAGAAGACCACTTGGATTGACCCCAGAGACAGGTAATGAAAGAATCGAACAATTTTTGTTTTATAAGAATAGGTAATATTTATTATTTTGATCGGGCTTAAACCGAATCCACTGCTTGCTCCTTGTGCGTGCGTGTGCGAGCGCTCGTGTATATGTGTATATTCAACTTGTCGAAATTGTGAAATGCACACACACAACACACTCGCATTCCTTTGACAGTAATCCGGCTGGAACTTCACAGGTTTTTTTAAACTGTCGTCAGTGCCATCTATATTGAAATATGCCAAACTCCTATCCACCGCCACTACCGTTGTCTCCCTGCCCATGCGCGTCGTCCCTCTTCTCCCCCGTGTTGCTCATTCAGAATTCGGTGAATACGAATTCATCCAAACAACTTGTGTGTGTTCTACAACACATTATAATGCAATGGAAATAACTAATATTTAACGCACACATCACAACTTATACAATACGTCTATAAATATATTATATTGTTATAAATTTAAATCATTTTGTTCGATCACATTTGACTTACACTATGTAAACCTAGCTTTGATCTACATCCAGGTCATCTGTTTTAATACAGAAACGTTTTTTCGTTCATTTTTATAATCTGATTTTTAACTGAAACTCATATCTTATCCAAACTTGATGTTTTTTTTTCTTATTGTAATTGTTTTAGTTAACATGTTCTAGTATAGTATTACGTTAGTTTTTAATTTTTAAAAGTTGATTTTTAAAATCTTCACTGTATTATCTCGTACACAATTTTCATAAAGTAACGTGATAATATATATATATATATAAAGTAGAAGCCGCTTTTAGAAACACTTTTAGACCAAAGAGAAGTATGTAAATTAACCAATTGTTTTTAATAAGCGATTGGTTTTATTTATTATGAAAAAAATGTAAATGTTAAGTAAAATATGCTTTTATCGTTGTCTGTTGTTTTGCGTCGAGTAACTTGATGATCATGTTTTCGTAAGAATATTGTTGCCCAAAGCCTTTTTCATCCTCACGATGCAGGACTGCTCTCCTGAGGACACTTAGAGCTCCTTCAATTTCTTTAGTTCATGGTTATGCTTTGCTTTTTTCTTCTTCGTCGTCAGTGATGTTAAATGACAGCATATGTTAAATTGTTTGAGTATTTATAACCGTATTACTGTAATACGAACTGTTCTCTTCTCCTGTTGGAACCCCTGCAACATCAAGGTGTGAGTCCACATCGATCCAATCTTCGTACACTTTCATAGAGTTCAACTGGTTTCGATTGTAATGACATAAGATAAAGTACATTTTAATTACAATACATTGGTAATCGCCAAATAATCGGTATTTTTCGACGACTTTGGCCCTTATTGTTCCAAATAACCGATGTGTTGTTTCAATAATCCGGTTGATTTACAATGTTTTAATATACAGCCGATCCGATATATCCCTATATATTTTGTTTCAATTACGCGATTGTATCAATTATCCGTGTTCCTAATACGCGGCTTCTACTGTATATGTATATATATTTAATTTTATCATCTGAATAAAATTGTAAACAAACTGTTATTACAAAGAATGTTTGTGTTTTTACTATAGTATCTCATAATAGCTGTTTCATTTGTTAATTATTTTTCTTCAGTAATATTTATTAAATGTATGTGTCTATTCTTTTTAATTTATCAAGCACTGTAGTATTTTACAATTATTCTGGTGTAAAATTAAAAAATAGCCGTGTTATAATTTAACATAAATAATTATATGGATAATTTTAAGCGATTTTCTATGATACTCCTATCTTTATTTTTATTAGGTATTCGATGTATGAGAAGTAGATGCACTTTTTCGAAGTTTAATGACCGGTTAAACATGTAATGAATGGGCGCGATTAATTATTTTTATATAATAAACATATTTTTCATATATATTATTTAATTATATGTATAACAATTGTACCTTATTAGTCATTGCTATTTAAGTGTAAAGTAAAAATGTATCCAATGTTAATAAATTTAAAAATTATATATTTAATCATTACTAAAGAAGTACTAAATAAATAATAAATTAACATCTAGCTAAAATGCTGACTGGTTATAAATTTAAAAATTTAATTAAGTATATGGATATTTCGTAAATCACAATGCATATTTAGTATTTCCTAATGGTTTTGAAAATCTCCTTTCCGATTACTGTCCATGATCATTATATTAGTGTTAAGAAATAATTGAGGGCTGTCATATATTTAGTTCGACTTAAAATTATATTTATTGATTTAACTTGATAAATAATACTAATAAAAAGTAAAAATAAAAAGTAATAATTACTTTATTTTAGTACTATTTATTATTTATACGTATAATTGTGGTCGATAAATAAGTTTTTTCTAACATGTAATTAAATGTTAGATTAGTCATTATATAGTATTATTAGATTATATTAAAACACTAAATCCTCTGAATAGGTATAAAAAAAAATCGATATTTTTTCAATTTTTTTTAACGAACTTGAAAAACCGACAGCTTAAAAAATAATATGTTCTTAATACTTAAAAGGTTGACCGTCACAAAATTTTATACTCGTATTTTCATAAATTGTTTCAAAAATTAATTTTAATAATTCTTAACTTTTTTTTTGTCTTTATTTACTATATTTAATTTCGTCCAGAGGCATAAACTTAAATTACACATGATACACAAGTATATATTAATATAATATTGAATGTTGTGTTAAAAATAAACATCTAAGAGGCCACACCCCCTTGGAGTTATGTCGCCATGCTGTCTATAAAACGTGCCGACTTCTGAATTTTTGATGTGTTGATATATTTAATTATATTTCTTTTTAAAACACTATTATATTGATGTCAGTAAATCAAAAATACGATTCATTCTTGCCAATTAAAAGTAAATTTCTAGTCCACTTTGGTTTAAAATTAAATCTTATATTTAACTTTATCATAAGGCTTAATTTCAGTGTTATTTTATTTTATAAACTTTTTAAACATATGTTTCGTTTTGAAAATTAAAGATATTTATTGACATAAATATAATGAGTACGGAGTGTTTTGAAATGGAGTCAGTTTATTTAATAGTGTAACATAAATTTGAACCATTTTGACTATTTCAATGTTGGTAAAAAAAATTTACATGTACGTTTTATTTTGTGTCGCTTAAAAATATAAAATGGTAATATTTAATTAGTATAAGTGTTATTTTAGCGTTTAAAATGTAAGGCCTATTAAAAAAATGATGTCTACTTTTATATTTATTTGTAAATATATACTTTATTTATTAATTAAATACTGCTAATAAGTACAATGTTGTTTTTGTCTAAAGTATTAATTAATTTACAGATTGCTTTTGTAATGGGTAATAGACTAGAGATGTCCCATTGGAAATGTCCCTGGTAAATATCCCTGAAAAAAGTTACTTTTCCAATTTCCCTCAATATTACGATTATTATTTTTATATGTTATATATCAATGGTTTTATTTCGAAAGACTGAATGCAGTATTTTGGTGTATTATTAGTATCTCATTACTAATATAACTAAATTTGTACTTAAAAATAGTTTAAAAATGCTGTATTAATAGTAATATATTTTTAATTTGTGTTTGAAAAATTATCTAGTTTAACAAAAAGTTAAATAATATTATGTAGATTATTATTTTTAATTTTTTTCTAATTATTTAATATGTGTAGTTACAAATAACATAAAAATAAAATATTTTTGAACTTTATATTATTATAGAAATTGAATTTTTATTATTTTTATACGTCATATATTGTTAATAAGAAAGAGCATTTTATAAAAATAAATATTTCTTACACTTTTCTGACATGGGGAATATTCCCGAATATGTTCATGATTTTACTTACCTTGAAAAAAGCCCATTCCTATGATAGTCATTATCAAGGAAATTATTAATGTATTTCATGATTTCTTTATGGTTATCTCTGTGTCATTTGATATTTGGCAATAATTTTTTGATTTAAAAATGAACAGCTGAATAATTTTTTGGCTTTCTGAAGAAGTAATAATTCAATGTAATCGAGTAATTACAAGATTGTCCGTATAGTGGAATATTTATTCTCGAAACGTAATTTTAAAAAAGTAAATTAAAGAAATTCTTATGTTTTGAGTCATATGAAACCATTTAAGTTACAGTAGTACTAATTAAATAAAGTATACACAGTAAATAATAAGATAAGATTTGCTATATATTTCTAGTGTAGCTATGGTACACTACTAATATTTTAAATTAATTTAATTCTATGTTAAGATAATCAAAATTAATTCATTTCCATTAATAGTTAAATAAAGCCGTTTACAAAATGTCATTGAAGTCAAGTTTTTAAATTTTTTACATATTATTTATATTATATAAATGTTTTGGCCCTATCTTTAATTCCTATTTTTCAGATCTATAAAATTAAATTTCCTAATTGTTTACATATTATATAGAATGATACGTCAATATAGTAAATTTAGTATATATCTTCGTATATAAAATTTTAAATTATTATTTTATAACTCATAATACTCATACCTTGTTTATGAATTAATAAAAGAAACAGCCAACAACAGTTGAAAATCTTATATGGGTAATTAAGTTTGTTATTTTATATACCTAGAAAAAAATAACCAAAATGTGTAAACGTGTGTTTCGTAATTTTCACTGTTTTTTTCCTAATATTCTGGAATTTATAACAGTTCTTTAAATTGCGTTGGAAAATAAAATTTATCGAGTATTCATAAGAACCTACTTAATAATTTTCCCTGCCAGTTAATGGATCAATAAAATCAATACAATCCTTTCTCCTTTTTCATCTTATTAACTAGTAAAAATTAATTTTGAAATGTTTAATATTTATTTTATAATCGTTATTTTTTTATTATTATTTTGTATTTACATTTTGTTTTTCCTATTAAATATTATTTGTTGTAACAAAATAAATTAACACTATATAAGTATATGAAGTATTGAAATTTATTAATGTAGACATAAATTGAGCATTTTGTGTTAAACAGATAACTCATACAATTATGTTCTTAAAATTATAATTTAGGTTGAAAATAGTTGAATTGTAAACCAAATATAGTTTACTTAGATTGTCTTTCGTATAACTTGGTAGTTATTTTAGTGATAAATTTTAAATTTGTGTGTGTATAAATAACTGCCTAAAAGTATTGTTTAAGTTATAAACATCTATTTTGCTGTCGAGTGCTATTTGGGTAGGTATGCGTATTTTGTTATGTCTGTAGTAGCAGAAAAATTAATTAATAAACAGTTTGAAAGTCAACTCGTGATTCAGCACAAATAATTTAATTAAACATTGCAATGTCTTATGTGAAATTTCTTTAAATATATTCGACATTGTATATATGTCACTTAACATCAGTTAGTTTTAAATTATTTTTATTGTGAAATTGTATTATCTTAATGTTAACAAAATATATTTTATAATCGTTTATTATGCATGCGTCATAAATCATAACAATTTGTAAGAAGCTATCGACCAATCACATTTAAGGTTATAGAATAGAAATTCTTGATTATATTGATGAGAAAGGGTTTTTAATATATTTATTTTTAAAAGATAAAGATAATTATTTTATTAATAATACTAAACAAATGTTGAAACATTTTTTAATAAGAATTATATTAAGTTATTTATTTTTATTTAGTATGTAATATGAATGTTCAGTTCTTACATATATTTTAGGTTCTATGAATTTAGACTGCAGTATATTAATTTATATAAGGTTTATTTCTTATTTTCATTCTTGACTACTGTATTCATCTAAAATATAATTGACTTAAATAATATTTTGATAATAGATACTGAGTATATATATTTTCCGTTCCGAAAAAATATAAAATTAACTTATAAAAGATCACATAGTTGTTATTATTATTTAATTATTTTCAATTTTTTAATAGGTATACCAAACCTCAATCATTTGCTGATTGTATCGGCAATGAATTGCCTCTTGGATGGGAAGAGGCTATCGATCCAGTTATTGGGGTCTATTACATCAATCATTTCAACCGTAAGTTATTTAAATATCAATACTAAACAGTATAATTTGTATTTGAAGTAAAAAATATCACAATTTTTACTATGTATGTTTAAGAATGTACCCAATTGGAAGACCCACGGTTGGAATGGAGAGCTATTCAGGAAGCTATGCTGAGAGATTACCTTCATACAGCCCAAGATGTTTTAGAAGTAAGTACATTATTTACGTCGCTTAATTATTTTGAAGATACATTAAAAATATTGTGTCACGGAGTTAAAATATATTTTGATCGTACTAATATTTTTGTAAAATAAAACAATCAAAGAATCAAATTAATCATTATAATACCTATAATTGTGTTATTAAAATATAGATTAATATGCTTAATATATTTTTATCGTTAAAATAATTTGAGAGTATTTATATAATAAAAATAAAAAATGATAGATGACAATAAAAAGTAATTTATTGATATCATGAGAAAAAATGAAACAAATATTTTATGGATATGTTATGCAGTTACTTTTCGTACTAGTGGCCTATTCATTATTTAGTGATAGTTCTGCCCCACTTTTTGTTCAATGACAAATTCCACCGGACTAACCTGACTAGTCATAAAATGTTAACACTGCTTTATCTATACGTAATTTTAAGAATTCCACAATATTTATACAGGGTGTCTTTCACTGTTACATATATGCCCTAACGGTTTTTTTCAGAGAAAACTATTTTTCAATCTAATGTTTTGTATGTATATGTCATACATCTATTTATTATAATGAAATCGTTAATATCGACACTTCTTGGTAGTGGGACATTTCGAATGACGTAGAAAATATTGAATAGTTTTCAGCTGTTTAAACTTTGACAGTGCATTTTTTTCATACCACTAAAGAAACACCAAACTAATAATGGGTTATTCGTCGACCCTCATAAGTTATTGGGTGTATAAAATTAGATTTTTTAAATAGTGCACCGCATTGGTTTGTACTATTTTACAAGTTCATTAGAAAATGTAAAACTAATTGCGCTGTACATGAATCTAAGCTGTGCTTGCTTAGAAGGACACACATTATGAGTTTATTATAGTTTTTATTCTTAAACATTACCCCGGGGTATACGTACCTCTCAAATAAAAAATGTAATATCTTATCATAGACCATTGGCCCCCTCTTCTTTCGCACTATTACGTATAAGTGTACCCACAATGTAGTCGCATGTCTTTTATGTATCCCCTTGGAGCTGGTTCACCGTGACGCCACGTACTGCCCTAGGGTGGGCGGGTGATTGATAGTGATTGGTATGTGACGGGGGGTGGTGGAAATGATGTGAAGGGAGAGGGAGATATTTCGCCTAGGGCACAACGTGTTCTGTGGGCGCTGCGTGGCTCTCGCATCCGATCAACGGCGGCGACGACGACGACGACGACGTCGTTGTTTGATACGAAAAGAATGCGGTCCCTCTGCAATGTTGCCAAGTCGTCGGCCGCCGGCCGTGCGCCTTAGAATGTGGAATGTGAAATGCACAACGCACGAGCCGCACTGTTACCAACACGTACTCAACGCCCGCCGATCAACGAAAATATATCTCATTATAACACATACTTTTTTTTTCATATTATTATTTTGATTGCTCAATTCCATTCATTGCATTTTTAGTTTTTTTTTTTTTGGACGTCATGATCATGAACAATAAAGGTTCAGTATATGGATAGGAAGTAAATTATCAAGCGTTGTGTTAACGAAATATATAATTGAGTGTACCAATCGAAATACATTGCTGTATATATTAACCTGAGTGTACTCTTTTGAGTGGTGAAATTTCAAAATAATGGACCCATTTTTATCGGTATTGATGGATACATTATACTGATATAATTATGTTATTCCAAATGTTCACACAAAAATTAACTTCAACAAATTCGCTATTAAATATCTTTGAAATAGTTTTTTTGGTTTTGTTTCAAAACAATAATGGTAAATTAGGTCAAATGTCGATAATATTATTTTTCATCGACGGTTGTCGGAGCCCGGTGCAGAATTTTGCGGGGCCCAATATATATATATATATATATATTATTTTATTAATTTATTAATTTATTAATTGTTTATAAAAATCTACGTTTGTTCATGTAATTATATAACTAAATAATATTTCGCATCGTCGTCGACGATAAACAATTTTACAAGTGCGTGAAACGGTGATATTCGTAATACACATATTGTGGGGCCTCATACAAGCTCGGGGCCCGGTGCGATCGCACGGCTTGCCCTCTAGGGTCGGCACTGATGTGGTTTATCGTTACCTTAAAATATTTTAGTACGATCGATCGAATTTTAATACTCATTTAGATATTGTACGTGTTTAGTATACGTTATTGTTTTGGTGATATTATTAAGAACTTTTATTATGTGGGTAGTAGCGATGACAGAATGTCAAATGACATATCGCAGATGTCCACGATAAATACGTCGTATGGAGTATAATGGATTTTATTATGTTTCTATTATTATTTTTCTTTACAAAACCGACGTTACACAAAAAAAAAAAAACTACGGAATTTAATCAGGTTGATTTATTTTGAACGATACTACGAAATGAAATCGTTATTAACAATCGACTATCGGCTTGAGCATAAGCTATTGTGCGGACGTATAAAAAAATCAAAATAAATAAATAAAAATCATTCGTGGCGGTGTGGTTCCACCGGTTACTTTGTGTGCTACCAGTGTTACACTCGTCGGGTCTCAGCGAACGGGTCTTGGCGGTGGCGGTGGCGGTGGCTCATTGTAAAACGATTGAAGAGCGAAGAAAATAAAATAAAAGTAAAACAAATGAGAGAAAAAATACCGTGGCAACACCGCAACCGGCGGCTACTAGTATTACGAGCACAACACGATTGGATTGTTTCTGGACTAAAAAAAAAATATATATAAAAATAATCGAAGACAATGAACCATCTGCTTACTGCACTGAAATGATTTGTACCGTTTGGGATATATATATATATATATTTTATATGTGTAGTATGGACACTTAAGTTCCGTTTAATATTTGACTTTTAATAGTTTTGTCGTTTAAATAGTTAGAATTTGAAATGCAAAAGAAATTGACATAATGTAAGATTTAACTCATATTATATAACTCATAAAGAATTTAAAGAATATGATAGTTTCAAAATAAAAATTCCATATATTGAATAGTCAAACTGTATTTTATCGGTTTTTTCTAATTCAAAGATTAAACATTTATTTTTTTTTAATCAATTATTTTAGTTATAACATGTATAATTTACAATTTACAAGCCTATCAATTATATTATATTTGTACATTAATTCATAATTCCCTGTTATTTTTAATAACAAATAATATTGATCGTATAAATCGTTTGTTTTAATTATATGATGTAAATTATATTCATTATTCGAAAGCAAATCAATGTCAATGCTTTTATTTTAAATTAAGTTAAATATTTATCATTTTAATATGTAAAAAACGAAAATGATTTGGTTATTTGTTTTATAATTATGTTACTATTATAGTAACAATAAAATGACAACTGCTGTATGTAAGTATGTTAATTAGCACGATATAAAGTTGTATAATTTTTAACTTTTTTACTTGTATGCATTATAATAATGTACAACAATATTTACTCTCAATACGGCTATCTAAGTATTTTAACTAGATGAATAGACTAATTTAAATACTTCGCTAGATAAATAGTTTACCAATATTAATAAAATAATAAGTATTCTCTATTAATACATTTGTGCCCAAGTATATGTAACAACACTTACAAATTTTACCTACAGTTTTATGAATTTTTATTCAGTTTCGTAAATTTATTATATTGAATCGAAATAAGTTAATTTTGATTTTTATTGTAATTTTTGTTGGATATTATAATTTACAGACATTAATGGTCATTAATGTTATATGTTAATCTAAAATTCGTTTTTACTAAATTAACTTTTATTGAAATAAGTTAATTTACTTTTTTATTAATAGAGAAAAGAATGTTTAGTTTCATATATTAAAAGGGGCCATTTGGTGATAGTTAATTTTTTTTAATCATTAATCCATAATTATTGTATCTATTGAAATAACTAACAGAATAACTAAATACCGTAACAGTACGTATAAATATTCGACGGTAGGCTTGTATCGTGAATTCTATTAACCTGAAATTGCACTAAGTCATTCGCGCTGTAGACATGATTGCATTCAATATTAACACTTATAATATAAAATAATATTCATATTATGTATTGTAATTGATTCCGAGATATCGTGTTAATTCAGCAGATATTTTTTAGAATAGAATTTCATAATTTAAAATGTAAAAAATTGTACGTCTTATATTGCAAATGTATAACATAGTACTCGTTTCATAATTAATTAGTGATGCTATTATTATTAATATTTTATGTTCCTAGAATTGTTTTAATTACTCTAGTACAACTTTTCGTATTGATACCAAGTTTTCTTGTTTATAATACAAATAATTTATCAACTAAACACGCACATAAATTAATCAAACAGTTTCAAAAAATATTTTTAATCCCGAGCGTACAGTATTCAAAGGTTTATATTGTTATGTAACATTACGTGTACATACCGTATACATTTCATAAATGCATTTTGATTATCATTTAATACGTATAGACGATGACTAAACGATTTGAAAATTTGTTATTTCTTATAGCGATACGAACCAAATTATTACATTTAATGGTGACCGTCGCGATTTATGTTTTTTGTTTTAGTACTATGAACTATTATTACTTTAGCATACAAAAGTATATGTTTATTTATGAACAATATATATATATATATATATACATATATATATTCTAACATTAATAACATCTGCTACGAACTGAATAAAATACATGTATGCTAATCATTTAAGTGGATGTAATGTCAAAGTGTACGATGTACATTTTGTTTTAAAATCTTTTAGTGGAACGGCAATTGCATACCGCGCGTCGAACGGGATTATTAAAGAAGAAAACAATCGAGGGAAGTAATATGTTTTTGGAAATATCTGGTATTGTCCATAATAATGACGATTTTGTTAACGATGTGTGTGCGTGTGAAGGGCTGCGAAACGAATACGGTCTAATCGCACCATCGTTGTCGCTCCCACCGCCCCATAGTAATTGCGTCTTCTGCACGCACGCACGCACACGCACAAAAATATAAAAAATAAAAATATTTGTGCGTACACATCGTGATGATCCCGCTGTGCGTGTATGTGTGTATACGGCCGCCTCGTCGTCGTCGTCGTCGTTCCCGCACCGCTACCGCGCCGCCGAAGCATCACCACCACCACTCGTCGTACCGAATAGTTGAGATTCCTGAACGCGCAAGGCCGAATTCCTCCAAGGTAGACACCCGTCCTCGTATCGCCTCCTCCTACTCCTCTTCCATCCGCCGACCATACCCGCGTGCGCTCGCCCCACCAGCAGCCTCAACCGCCGGCTCCAGTGGATGGGCAACCGAAAAACTAACCCCTTGGGTCAAATTCCGGTCCCGGGATTCTGAGCGTGCATATGACCTCAGTCTCTTCCCGTGGCTCGCGAGTCCCGCGTCGTGTCTCGCGCGCTTCATTGTGCGTGTGTGCGTTGTGTATGTTTGCCTGTGCTCCGTGCGTGTGCAAGAGCGCCGCCACCGCCTCGTGCGTATTCTATCCGTCCATCCGTCGACATAGACGTCATCATCTGAAATTCACTAACAACAACCGCGTTTCCGAGTTTTTTCGCTTTGTCGAGTTTTCATATATTATAAGAAAATTGTTCTCGTTCTCCTGTCCGTGTGGTAAAGCGTATTGTGTTGTATCGTTGTTGTTACTGTTTTACTGGCGTCGGATCGCCAAGAGAAATCAATCGGAACAATCAAGAACAACAATCGCGCGTTGTACGCGCGAGTAGTTGTGCCGGCCGGCCGCTGCATCACTCCTCCGACGTTTCCGCTTCGCGTTCCGCCGCCGCTGCGGCCGCTTATTAGTCAACGGACCGTGTGATGCGCACACTCGCAATGTTTTCGCATTACTGTTGTGACACTTGGCCTCCTCATTGCGATTACTCGTCATACTACGATCAACTGGACATTCAGTACTACCGGGACACCTACGGACGCCTTTACTATTTTTACGTAAGGACAACCTCTCCGAGTGTTTTGATCGTTTTATAGTTTTCGACGAAAAATAATGGGTTCGAAATTTCGTTTCCCCTCCGTATGCTACATCTGTTCCGCTGTACCCGTCCGACCAGCGTCCGAACCGGTCGAAAATTGAATAACAATTTTAACCTTGACTTCTACGCGTGCATGTAGAAATGTTTTATCGTTATGTACGGTTTTATATACACTCAATGTGGGGTAAAATTACCTAGTCACTCAAGATGCAACATATAAGTCTTATGAATAATTAAATTTGATTTATAATTACCATTATGACTATACTATTATATTTTCTATTGGAATGTCTTATTTCAAAATAGTTTATGATATTTAGTTCAACAAATATTTAATTAGAATACGATTTGAGTATTAAGATATAAGGAGTGACGTTATGCCCTATAAAGCACTGTTGCTTACATGTATATATGCATTTGCTGCGCGTCATAGGAAACACTTAATAAGTTATTAGTTGTTATCATGTTATATTTATTTAGTAATAATTTAGATTATATAATCATCTAATTGTACATCACTTAGTATAGACCTGGTGTAACAGTTTTATAAATTAAAAATGTATTTAACCAAAAAAATCACTGAAAATGTTATGATTAAATATTTTAATGTTTAGCCAAAGGGACTAATCTCATCTTGACGTAGTCAATTGGACTATTATACGAGTATAATGCAATTGATACATATTTCAACGATCTTTCGGGTGCTTAAGTACCTACCTCAATTAAGAAATATTGAATTTGTAGTGGAATTTAAAATTTTAAAAACCGTTTAAAATAAGAAATGACAAAGTCATTAAAATACAATATCTTTATTCATGTCTGTATGTGACGTTGATGTATATGTATGGTGGCACGCGCGTTGTATCACCACCGCAGCTGCCATGGAGTGAGCCGGCAGAATAATTTAATCTATTCATTCTGCAGAGTGGCGTATTTTCAAATTTTATGTGGGAGGGGTTTTAAATTTTTCAAAAAAATAAGTGATACTTATGTTCCCTTTTTTTGTATCTTTGTAGCAAGTAATTTATGACTTTTGAACTTTTTTCTTCTAGGGGGTCGAGGCTTTACCCCCTCTCAAAAAAAAAAAATAAAATAAAATAAAATAAATGTGTTTCCCAAACTTTTTCGACTCGCGGCGCCCATTTTGATTTATGGTTTTTTCAGGGCGTCCTTTTCCAAGTTATAGCATGAATAATCATAAGGATAATTTTAAACCAGATAGTATTTCATGACGGCGTGGTGCCTCTATACAGACATGCGACGCACACTTTTGGGAACCGATGCTATAGAACAACCATCTTAAAAATTTTAAAATCGTGTTATAAAATATTTGTTGATTATTTCTCGAAAGAAGAAAAATATTTTGCTCTGTTTCATTGTGCACGACATAAATATGTTATCGCAATTTATTTAATATTCTGTCGAAATTTCAATCTTGAATTTTATACTAACCGGTTACAACCAAAATATATTTCTAAAATAATGCATTTTCGAATTTAATTGTTGTTCATTATAAAATTATAATTTATGTGTACTTATATTAAAGAAAATAATTAAACTCATGTAGTATATTAATAATGTAACATAATTTGTTTAATTTGACTGTTTGTAGTTAATTCTTTTAAAACGTATTATTAAACTGATTTACTTTTTCTTTTTTTTTTTTTTTATTAACTCTGCATCTGTCGAGTTTTCTTCACTGATAATAATATTCAAGGAAAATAATAATTGGTTTAAATAATTGAACTTAATTGTTGTACTGTATTTTGTTTTTAATATTTTAATTAGATTATATTTATTTTTGAACGATTAGCAAATATAGCCATAGGTATTTAGCGAAAAATTAACGTGCTCAAAGGAAAAAAAAAAGAAAAATATATACCTAACAATATTTTATTTAGTATTTTTCCTATTTTTCTTAGATTTTTTTCAAACACATTGTTACGGCATTCATATTAATTTATCTATTACTAGTACTAATTTTGTAATTATCACATTTGAATACATAATAGTCCATTAGTTTGCAAATTAGTTATTATTATTTTCTAAAAGTTACCGACTCGGTCGTCACTTTATATACACGATCCAATTTACCCTAATTTATAGTTTATGTACGATTAAACGTAAATATTTTGGAATAAATAAATTATATTTTAAAAATATGTTATATTAAATTATATTAATAACATATATTAAATAAATTATATTACCAAAAAATAAATATAATTATATTTCATAATTTATTTTATGTTTTAGGCGAAGAAAGAAATTTATGATATAAAACAACAAAGGCTGTATTTAGCTCAAGACGAGTATAACCATCTGAACAATGCTTTATCGACCTTAAACACATCTAGAACTAGCCGTAAGTAAAATTTGATCGTACAATGAAGTATTTATGACGATACAAAATTAATTTAAATTTGTTACTTGCGTGTAGTTTGTTCGAGCTCTAGTAATATCAGTACAAAATATGATCCTGATTTGCTCAAGTCTGATGTCGCTCACGCCAGGGAAAGGGTTACCAGATTGAAACGCGAATTGGAACAGATTGGTGAGGAAATGTCTTGTACGCGACGTGGAGTCGAGACCCTTTCAAAGTATGTTTAAACATAAATTTTTACATAGTGCGTTAACGTTTTTAAAAAGAAAAAAATGTTGTACGGTATTATTATTTTGAATGATTGTAGTGTGGAGCAAAAACTTTCAAACGATGGCAGCTGTTATAATGTTGTTGAAGCACAAGCAATCGTAACCGAATTGCGAGAAATCCAGCAATCGTTAAGTTCAGGACAGCGGGAACGCACTGGCCTGATGCATTCGCTTGCTAAGTTAAAAGACGATTTGACGCGACTCCAACTGTGTTCAGCTACCGACGATCCCGATCTACAAACGCAGCATTCTTCGTCCACTCAACTAAGTGACAAACTCAGTACGGCTTCTCAGACGGACTTGTCTGGCGAGGTATGTATATAATCCACAAGACCACTGCTTTAGAGGAGAAGAATGAGTTACCAAATTGGTTACATTAATTTTTCGTGTAATATTTTCATTTTTCTGAGGGAAAGACGGGCTTAGAAAATTTCTTATTTTAAAATATAAGTTATGTAATAAATATGGTGTTGTACACTTTGGTATATTAAAAGGATTAATTGATGTTAATTTTGAATTTAACGTTATAATTTCACCTTTTCTCAAGACCAATGAATAACATTGTTACTAAATAATAATTCTAAATCTTCTTTGAAGATATTGTAGTAGGATAGAAGGTTAAGAATTTTTTTTCTTCAAATATACTAAAATTTAATTTTTAGTAAAATTGTTTTGAAAATATTTTCAGGAATACCTATTTTATTTTACATATTTAACATATTTGATCTTTTTTCAAATGAATAATTTATTGTTAATTTTTTTTTTAGTTAATGCCTATGGGTACTAGACTTGCTGAAATGGCACGTATGCGGCTAGAGTATGATGAGGCGCGTAAGCGTATTCAAAACATACAACAGCAATTGGCTGACCTTGAAGAAAAGGTTATGCCTGGCCAAGAAGAATCTGATAAAGATCGATTATTACTGTTTCAAGAAAAAGAACAACTCTTGAGAGAACTCAGAAGCATAACACCTCGTTCAAGAAGTCATCAAGAAATGAATGATATTCAAGGAGAGATTAAGAAACTTGAACAGGATTTGAATAATGCATTAGAAATGTCTAATCGAGCTATTGCAGACAGGTACAATAGGCTTTTTCATTAATTAGTGATTAAACATTAATATTTTTCCTGTTTGTAGATTAAGATTGCATGAAGAAAAACAATTATTGTTGCAACAGCTTAAAGAAGCATTACGGTCTATGACACAGTTAGAATCGCAGTTAAAAACATTGTCAGCATCTACCTTATCAGTTAGTTCAAGTTCAAGTTTGGGTTCCTTATCTACAACTAGCAGTAAGGGTTCATTGAGTAGTGGTCTTAGCTTTACTGATATATATGGTGGACCTCAATGTTTGGCTCCATCTACGTACGATCGGCCTGTTGATATGGCTGATTTACATAAAAGGTTAGTTATTGTAAATTTTTTCTTTTAAACTATTTTAATATTTTATTATTATTATTATTATTATTATGTATAAAAACAGAGTTGAGAGACTTTTGCGAGATGATATCCAACCACCAGCTTATGAAAACATGGGTGAATTATCTAGTACTGTACCCAATGTGGGTGGTGTGCCATATACTAGAAGTTGTCGACCAACAAGTCCTCCACTTTCTCCCATATCTGAAACACCACCCAGGAGTGTATCAGCTGCGGTCAGTGATGAGTCAGTTGCTGGCGATTCAGGTGTATTCGAAGCCAGCCATAAGTCAAACTTCAGTGCAGAAACTTCCCAAGTTCAAATCAGACTGAGGTATATTTTAATTAAATTTGAAAGTAATAAATACATTTTTTAACAATATTATTATTTATTTTTAATTTTTTTAGGTATTCAATAGCAGAGCAAGTGTTACATGTTTGTATTGAAAGATTGCGAAATGTAGTTGCATTATCCATAGCAGAATCATGGCAATTGTAAATAATACTAGCATGAGAATAATTTTGTTTTTTTACTATGATATTTTTGTTTAGGTATGTAAAAATTGTACTGTTGCCAAGTGTTTCAAATTCTTCATTAAGTGGTTGTACAAAACCTATATCAGATCTAACAAAACCTAGATTTGGTGATAGTTTTGCATTTAGTTTGCCATCCAACAAATTATGTACAAAAACTCTACAGGTAAATGTCTGGGGATTAGGTCCAGAAGATATTACTGAGTGTTTGGTAAGTATTATAGTTTGAATATGTTTATACCATTTTACTAAATACTAAATTATATTTAGGCATGTGCTCAAGTGAGTTTGGCCGAATTTAATGAGACTGAGAACAACTCTTGGTGCAAATGGTACAACTTGTTGAGTTTGAAATTTATGCATAATGGTGGTTCTCTACCTTCCATCTTGCTCAAGGATGATGGGGGTGGTTCTGATGACTCAACTATTATATCATCTCAAACATCGACACTTACACGTAATCAAGGTATATTTTGTCTTTTATTTATTTGATTAGTTATGGAGTATTTTTAGTTGTCGTTGTTTGTATTTTATATCATGTTTATTGAATGTATATATGTATATATGTATTAGGTTGTTGTGAAGAAAATGATGCAAAATTCATCAATGTTGATAACTTAAATGAGAATGAAGTCGAATATGATGAAGGTGATTCAGATGATAGTGTAAGTGATGATGATGATGATGATGATATTGAAGTGTACCAATTAGGGGATGAAAAGAAAGAATTGGAACAAGTATTAGAAATTCCTGTAAGTCATTTATAATTTATTTTTCTATTTTTGTATTGAGCTTAATATTTTTTCTTTCCTTAAATAGTAATGTAGGTATTTTACATTAAATAAATTAGTAATATTTATACATTTTTAATTATTTAATTCTCATATTTTATTATTTTTAAATTAATGACCATATAAAAATACTGAAATAAATAGTTTAATTTATATTAAACAATTGAATCATTTATAGAATAAGGAAAATGATACAGAAGACAAAGAAACCAATACAGATAGTGCCTTAAGTGGTAGTAATAGAGAAATTAATAGAGTACCTACAATAGTCATTAAGCGATCACAGACATTTTCACCTACTGCCAAAAACCAGTATATTTGTAAAGTAAGTTAGATAAATATAGTTTTCTATGTTATAAAATATATTATTTATTTTAAAATTATGTTAATATTTATAGCTAAATCGCAGTGATAGTGACAGTGCCATGAATTTATACAGACGACACATATCATCTAGTGCCAGTATGAAAGGTATTGGAGGTAGTAATGCAGATATTGCATCATTCCGTCGCAATTGCTTGGAACGTCGATCATTACGATTGGGACGAGTCCCAGGTACATCACCTAGTAGATGTATGCCAACAGTGTGTGGTACTTCTTGGTGTCGTCCACCAAGAACATCTATTGACCTGGAGCTAGATAGACAGGCGCAACATACACGGTTGTTGTCGTTAAATAATGAAATATTTAGACTTAGGCAATTGAAAAACACACTGGAAATAGCCAAAGAAACTGGTGATACTGATGTAGCCGCTTGGGTTTTGGAAGATGAAGAATTTCAAAATCTTGTTAAGGAGGTACTCAATTTTATTATTTTAATAATATTTATTTTTGAATTACTAATTTAATGTCTTTTCATTAGGCTGGAGATAAGACCCTGGATGAAAAGAAAGTTGAACGAAGATTAAAGAGAGCGTCACAAAAGTTATACAATTTAAGAAAAAGTAAAGCTGGCCAAGGAAAACCTGACATTATTTCTTTCAAGTAAGAATACAAATCATTTGCTCACTTTTATAATTTTCTTTTTTACCCTTTCTAATTTAATGGAGTCTGTTGATTTGGATTTTAATATTTTTTTTATTTTTAGAGAAAAAATGGCTTTCTTCACTCGGCCAGGTGTTTCAGTACCTGTTCCCCCAACCAAATCTTCTCAAGACCCTAAGTCTACAGAAACACGTTATCAGTATACTGTAGATAGGGTATACGGAGTAGAGGTTTAGTTTTATTTTGGTTGAGTAAACTAACTCAATAAATCCCACCTGCCGTTATTCAAAGACTATAATTTGTACATAAAATACATTAAAAATAAAAAAATTGAAAATATTTTGATGTATTAAATTTTGTGTAATATATTTAATGTTACATTATTGTTTTTATTTTTTTAGATAAATTTTATTTATTGTTATTTTCTTATTATATTATTATTATTATTATTGTTAAAATTTTTTTAAAAAAAAGAACAAAGAATAATATTTTGTATGTGCCTTAATTATATATATGTTAAGAAGGTAGACTTAAGTGTAATTATTTAAATATTAAAAATTGCCATAATTTATTGTTATTTTTATTAGTTATAATATTGTATATGAAACAAAACCATCTTAGATCTGATAATTATTTTTATAATTTTTTTCCGTTGTAACCATTTACGTGGTTTCAAATTTGTTTTTTCATTTGTACATAAAAAAGAACCCATTTCTTTTACTGAAAAATAAAAATTCAATATTTTAAATTTTTGGCTGTGAGTATAAGTTAAAAAACAGTAACCAACTTAAGGTTTTTTAGAATCACACCTTTATGATTGTTATTTTTTTTATGGGTGCTATAATTCGGTTTGTCAAAATTGTGACACCCTTGACAAATGAATTGATATCAGAACAATATCCTCTGTGAAATTAATTAGGATAACTCAATTCTAATCTTTAGAACTTTTTATATGTTTATCATGAACAAGAGATGTTTAAAATGGAAAAAAATATGTATTTTAATATTATATACATACACATTTATAATTATTATTATTATTATTATTATTATATATTGTGTAAGTTTTTGTAAATTTTTTTTATTTATAATAATTGTTTTGTTGAGGTATTTTTTTTCTTTATCTATTTTTTGTGCATTATGTTTATACTATATATATATATATATATATATATATATATATATATATATACACATAAAAGCAATTACCTAAAACCTAACAAACTCGTAAATTATGTTAATACTAAAATTGATTATTGTAATGTTGTTTAAACATAATGTATGACTTAAACGAGTTAGGATAGAATAAAAATTATTTTTACAATATTAAAAGTTTATACATTTAAACAACAGTCTGTTGTTGATCTTCCTCATTTTCAAAGAATATATAACATAGTCCTGCGAAATATTTTTTTATTTTTGTTGTTTGTATAATAATACCTGATCCTTATAGATCTTAATATGCAAAATTCAAATCTGAAATTAGTTTGTCTCTATCATGTCTAGTTTTTTTTTACAATTGAGATTTTTAAGATAGTATAAAATTTACATATAAAAAATATGTTATTATTTTGTTTGAAATATTTTAATTGCTATAAATTTAACTAAAGTAAAATTAAAACTATTATTAAGCAAACTTATTTTAAAAAAAATTGTTTATTTTAATTCTTACTTTTAAAGTATTAAAAAAAATATGTATTAAAGTAACCTGTTTTTGGTTCTTTTTTTTTGCAGGATCGTAAAAAATAAATTTATTTGATTTTCTTTTGCAGCTTTATTTTTCAGTTTCACGTTTTTAACACCAGCAGTAATCAGCTATCATACTAACATCCTATCGACCTTGATATCGTCTTTTCATTTCTTTGATGTCATGATGAAAACATTCACCATGTTCTTCACTTAATGAACCCAAATTTTCCGGAAAATAGTCGATATGCGAATTTAAAAATTTTATACTCATATTACAACTCAGTACTAGTAATTATTTCAATAAATCGACTACGATCGATTTATAATCTGGATCTATCGTATTACCTAAAAATTTCGACACCATGCTTTTAAAATTAGACTATGCATTTTTTTCTATGGTGGTCATACTATTTTGAAAATCTGTATCTTTCATTAGTATTCTAATTTGTGGCCCGTCAAATATACCTTCTTTAGGCTTTTTTCCATATAATACAGGAAATTTATGGCACCGATATTGGAAACAATGTCCATTTTTATCAAGGGCCTTTACAAATTGCTTCATTATTCCTAACTTTATGTGCAAAGGAGGTAATAGAACTTTATGATTCAATTAAATTATGACTTATTATATTTTTAGTTCCCAGTTCTAAGTTCTGTCTTTTTAGCCAATACTTCACCTTCCAATGTTTCATGCGATTTTTGCTGTCCCATTTGCATAAAAAAACATGGAAACTTAGTATACCTTTTTGACCTAATAACATTCCCAAAACTTTTAAGTCACCGCAAACAATCCTTTTATGTAGTGGCTATTGAACTTTTTCCAACAGTAAATGTAAGTTTTCATATATTTTTTTTAAATTATGGCATATAATAATAAATAATAATAATAATAATAATTTAAATTATTTTTTAAGCAATGGGAATAGATGCTAACTGGTTTCCGTTGTGAAGTAAAATACCTTTCAGACTTCTTTTACATGAATTTATAAACAACCTCTATTCATTCACATTATATTATATTTGCCTAAATATTGAATTAATCCAGAAATATTATTACAAGATACAAGCGATCCATTCTTTGAAAAATTGTTTGAATTCTATTTCACGATTCCTGTACCAATAAAAAGTAGTACCTTTTGCAAGTAAATTTTTTTCTTTTAATCTCGAACCCAAAATTTCAGCTGCCTTTTTAGGTTAAGTTACGTACTAAATCATTTAATTCAAATTGATTGAAAAGTTGTGGAGCATCTATGGTGTCAAGTTGAAAGTCTTCATCATTATTACTAGGATTGTCATCGGAATTAATAGAAGTATCGTGGTTTAAAATAGTTTCGAAAGTTTCTGACGGTACAGGTACTGGTAATTCAGGGCCATATGTATTGGTCGTATATCAGAAGGTAAATTTGAGTAAATTAGCTTTGATTTGTTTTTATTATTATAATCACAAATATTAACCATACAAAATAGCAATCGTCAATATGATGGTTTGGTTCTCACCAAACCAATGGAACTCAAAAAAGGCATTGATAAACGTTTATCTTATTCCAATTTCGTAAACCTTCAACACAGGATTGGCAAACAATATGGAGTCCTCAAGATTTATCTTGATCTCCTAAATGAAAACCAAAATATTCGTGGTATACGTTTTTAACAAAATTTGCTATGTTATTTCATTGTTTCATTATAATATATTCATCACATATATAACAAAATAATTTTGAATTGTTTTTACAACATCTTCTTTTAATGGTTTTGGATGTCATACTTAAACAAATTGAAAGTCAAAAATCACACGAATAAAATCTTAGAAATGTAATACAGAACTCGGATATTTTATGAAAAATAAAATGAATGTAACTATAAAGAAGAATAGACATAAATTGTATGAGTTTAAAAATATATTTAATTGAACTATTGTATGATATAAACTACTATAAGATAAACAATTTAATAAAGATAAGATTAAAGTTTCAGTAAAGTATACTACATTGAGTTTATATTAATAATTCAACTTATGAATATATCGCATATTATTGTACGACTGTACAGAAAATCCAATATTTATTATTCAAGTTGTGGAAAAACTAGAAGTGTTAGAGAAAAATTGATTACAGATTTGAAATCAGCGCGTCAAAATCTATGAATATAAATGTAAAAAGTTAAAACAAAAAAGTAGTTGCAGGACTACTACTAAATATACAATTATAATTGTATATTTGCTTAAAAATATAGTATGCAAGTTAAATAACAAAATAAAAGCAATGTTGTAATAATTTGACATAGTATGATTATATAAAAAACAGCAATTATTTCTAATTGTTCAATAATATTTTAATTTGGGCACTCAATGAATTGTAGTGTTAGTCATAATAAATAGGATGATTCATCTGAAATACATTTTTTTTATTAATCTCATATTATAATTTTTTTTTCATTGAATTCTATGACAAATTTGTATAGATAACTGCAGGTTATTTTTCTTGAAATTTATTTCATATAAGAAAATTAAGAGTTTTCACATAAAATAATGTGTTTTGACCAAGTTATACTCAGTTATAAATCAGGTTGCAAAAAAATGTTTAAATGTTCAAGTTGAAAAAAAAATGATTGAATTGTTTTTCACTATTTTGTGTTAGAGTAGGTTCCCACTAACTTTTTTAGTTGTACAGACAACCAATTTTGTAAAAAAAGAAAAAACTGAGGACAAGTGGCAAAGCATGAGTATTTAAGTTGGGGAGACATTAAAATAATACGTTACAGGCTCCCTATTTATAACTTTATATACATTAATGATAAAAGGGACACGGTTAGGTTTTTATTTTTTATTTTTTTTTTATATGAGTAGTTTACTATTCCATCATTCAACATTTCATTAATTAAATCATCAGGCATAGTGGTGAATGACAATAGTACAATATTTTAATATTTAGATATGAATATTACGCCAAAAATAAATAAATCGTAAATTAAAAACCAAAACAAACCAATAACTACGATAACAAAATTGCGTTGAACGATAACGCATCAACGCGAAAAACAATGACGATTACAATAATGTTTATTAAAATGAAATAATAAATGCGAATGCGAGATATGTCTCAAGCGTAATGATAATCCCTACTCAATAACCTATTCCCCCTATACACCGTGCCTTGAAAAACGAGACGCTGCAATGCGTCGTCTCATATTAATTTTTATATCTTGTATTTGGATATACTTGTTATAGAATTAACCACTATGCCACAACGGACGACAGCTCACGTGCACGGTCCGTAACTAATCTATTTTTAGAATACTAGTACGGTATGGCACAAAAGTAAAACTACGATAAATATTGAAGGATATATTATATAAAAATAAATAAAATATAATAAAACCAAATGGTGTATCCGTATTAAAAGTGGGTAGACATCGTCTCATTGTCTCCTATAACGCTTCGACACTGCTGAGGACCACCAACAATAAGCAGATAAAATATATTAATTAAAAATGGTATTTTATCGGTCATGGGTTTCAAAACAACTCATTTAATCTTCGTGTGGCTATTTTAAGTGTTAAACAATCAGGGAGAAGTTTTCTGGTTAATTTCAATTTTGAAGTTACCTATTGCCAGGGGCGGAACTAGGGGGGGGGGAAGACAG